AAATGGTAGTTTTCCTACGAGTTTGAAAAGTCTCTGTTTGCGAACCGAGAGGTTTGCGGCCCGAGCCGAAGGCGAGGGACGTAACGAGGTTCGTAAAAGAGACTTTTCGAACGAGTTCCGGAAAACTGATTTTTCGCCGGAGGAAGTACCAGCCTCCCAAAATCACCCGAGGGCGGAAAAAAATGTTTTTCTCTGTATTGTGCGTGTCCACGTAGGCCATTCAAATAAACCCACAGAAATTCAAAAGGCATACATATCAAAACGTTTGATTTTTCAGGTGGAGGATAAAAAAAAGTGGCTAAAAATAGGAATTCTCCAATTTTTTTTTGTTTTTTGTTTTTCCTTCCTCTCCAAATCCACAAAAAATTAAAGCACCAAAACGAAAAAAAGGAAAAAGAAAACATGAAAAAGGCGGGGGGGGGAGGGAAATCTCGATAAAATGATAGAGAGAGAGAGAGAGAGAAAAGGCACTACTCACGCAGTGAAATTAGCAAACGTGGCGCTCGAAGAAACAAAGGGGCTGTAGGTAGTACGTAAACCAATGGCCTTAAGAACAACCATCAGCTGCACAAGGAGGCGAAACAGAGAGCCGCAGTAGCGAGTCTCAACGTAGAGTCAGACCGAGCGCGTGTAGTATCGGGGAAAGTGCGTGCGCTCGGCGAGCGTCGCGGGGCGCAACTGATATGTCCCGCGCTTGCAGTACACCACCTACACCTATACCTTGTGCACACACACACACACACACTCTTGCACACATGTCAAAGTTCGGGAGCTCCCCTCTCGTCGCGCGAGGAGTGACTTTCTCCTCTCACTCGCCCGCCCTTATCTCTCATTCCCTTTTTCTCGCTCCCCCTTCGCGCGCGCTCTTGATCTATTTTTCATCGGGAGGGTGAGGAAACTCAAGCTCGAGGAGGATCGGACCTATACGCACCTATGTTTTATTTTTCCGACTTTTCCCGTGTATTTGTCTCTTCGGTGGGATATACACAAGGGTATATTGGGAGTAATAGGTTGTCGAAATTATTTTATTGGCATTAAAATTATGGTCATACAAACGTGTGATTATACCTGTATCCACACGATTTTCATAGCTGTATTTTCTACAATTTATACAGCACTTGTGTGGCTTACTGTCATCCATACAAGGGTGCTCATATGGTTCTTCGGAAAACTAATTGTAAATCTATTTTTAGAAGCTCGTACAATTTTCATTTATTTATTTATTTATTTATTTTTTTTATTTTTCCCGAAATCCGCGTATCAGAGAGACAGTGATGGGGCCGCCGAAAAACGGCAAAGACAAATTTCCCGCATAATATCGCTCTCCCGGCTCCCGTGATCTTACATCAGCCCATTACAGGCACATCGGAATGTATTCCGTATAAATATATAAGGGCACTGCACACGTGTGCAGCAGCTCTACGCCCCCCCCCCTCTCCCTCTTGCACGCTTTTAGAAAGATAATTTTGTACTCTAAGGGCGCGTTGGTCGGGGGGAGAGAAGAGG